TACTCAATCGAACTACACCAGAGCATGTCAACTCTGTTTTGTTCACAGATCAATCATTTTTAAAAACCTGGACGGAACCAAAAGCTAAATCCCTAAAACCTCAGCAAGTTAATTCATTGTCCTGTCCTGGTAGCTTAATCCTCCCTTTTCACCCAAGAAAGGAAAATGAAAGTTCACAAATGAAATGTCCAGGAGAGTAGAAGGGCTAGACGTACTACCCGCTTTCTCTTTAGTGCAGATTAGGTGAGGTACAATTGCTCACCAGGGCCTACTGGAATGCTAAAAGCATGGGGAAAGGAACCACACAATCATAGCTATGGATCACACCTTGGTGCCAGCAATCTGTACAGCCCATCAGCTCGACATCTGATTCAAAGATAGGCCTGAAATGGAGTTAAATGTCCCCTTGCACAACTGCAAGGTGTTTGGGAATTTTACAGGGGGCCATGTTAAAATGCATTAGTCCCAGCCAGATGTTATATCAAAACTGGCCCCATGGAGTCAATTTCTGGTGTTTTTGCCAGCTGACCGCAGGCTCCAGAACCATCCTTTTTAAGCTATGCGGCCAGGCACAATGAAAGGAGCGTTGCTAGAATTGTGAAATAGCCACAGAAGCTTGGGTAACTACCAGGCTTACACAACAACTGATGAAGCAAGGCAAAGAGCAAATTCTCAGTGCCTCTGCCAAAGGCAGGCTCCCTTTTAGCTCACATGATAGCGCTGCTGCCCATGCCCAACCATGGTGTGTGCTAGACAACTCAGACACAGTAGTGAGGAACAGAGACAAGACCTTGCTACTCGTATGCCCTGCCCACCAACCCAATGGCACTAAACCTGCAGCTTGATTGCCTTGGCCATTTAAACTGTCCAGTTACAGTACAAAGTGGGAGGCCGAGTACCACCGGATCACATTAGTCACTCACCTTGTGTTGGCGTATACAATGACACGGAAGAATCCAGCCCCCAGTTCTTGGGTCTAGCTGGCACAGAGCTTGTGGGGAAAAGTATATCAGAACCAGATAAGAAAAAGCGATCAGAAAGCTAAAGGGGATGGTCCCAGGACAACAGCAGGGCCTCTGCTCATCCTATCGCCAAACTTGGGTGGTTTGGATTGTGTTCATTGCACTGGCTTAGCGCTATTGCCATGGAACTCTGTATTCTGTGTACCAACCAGAACAGGCTGCAATCGGCAGAGAGCTGGGTTTCAAAACTTAGGACCATCCTGGAAACCTTGGCAATACTTTAAACACATGAAGTTTTCGAGGGATCCCTAAAAGCTAGCTTCCTGCATGGTGTAAAGTGACAGTTGTCTAGTGGCTGAAAAAGTAATGTGTGTGTGTGGCGGGGGGCTTATCGCAATTATGTTCATGTTGGCTATTGGGTCACAGACTGACGCCTCCAGTGAGCAGGGCTCTTCACCCACTTATAGAGAGCATTGGGAGACCCACTCTCACCTTTCATCATTCAGATCTCCCGCTGGTAAAAACACAACACTATAAGCGTGCACAGGCAGCAGGCATGTCACAGACTGCTGGCAAACGTTCTCCTGCCCTGCAGCCATCCCTGGTGGACCAAGGCCCAGGAATACATTTGGCAGCTTGAGCAACCTGTCCCAGACACAAACAACCCACATTTTATCTCCTTGGGTCTGCTCCTGGGGCTGTGGGTCTGGAGTTTAACTGCCTTTTTCAGTAGAGCTGAACCCCAGGAGTGAAACAGCAGCCAGGGCCCTAGAAGGGCAACTGCAGTTTTCAAAGCATTAGAAACAGGAGGGTTCGTCACCAGGGAAAACTGCTGGCAAAGATCAGTTTTCCCTGGAGTTCTTCTAGCTAGAAGAAACAGTTGAGGGAAGAGTTAACGAGGATGCTGAAGTGTCTGTGCCAGAGATTAAAAACCATTCTTGCTACAACTCTTCAGGCTTCCGGTGACTTCGGTCCATCTCATCTTTAGAAAGAGTAGCAGTTACCATGTATGTTAATCAGCACATCTCTACAACTGGCTCGGCTCCTGGCCGAGAAGCTCCGCATTGGACAGGGCTCCTCTCTCTCAAAAGGGTTAGACTCCCATGTTGTAGATGGCCAGAACAACCAGGCAATCACAACCCCATCTAGGCAGGAGAAAGGTGAGTCGAACGGGGCACATCACAATGGTCAGACCAAAGGTCCATCTAGCCCAGTGTCCTGTCGTTGATAGAGACCAGTACCAGCTGCCCCCCCGAGGGGAATGAACAGAACGGGATCGTCACGTGATCCATCCCATTTTGGCAAACAGGCTAAAGCTACCATCCCTGCCCATCCTGGCTAACAGCCATCAATGGACTGGTCCTCCATGAACTTGTGTAGTTCGTTTTTGAACCCTGAACTAACCGGGAAGGACAAATATACCATGAACTTTAAATAGTTTTCTGAAGTCATCTCAATTCTCCTTTCGTGCCTATAGAACATCCCCACCACGGAACG